CTTTGGAAGATATGCAGATTTCTAGGTTCATCCTGAGCTGTAGTGGCTCTGGGGTGATACCCAGGAACCTATAATTTTAGAACACTTTTTGCATACACCCAGGGCTGGGCTTCGGAATTTCCGGTTCCACATGCAAGGAACTTGGGAATCACCACTCTGATCACACAAGTAAAAAAAACAGAACAGACTGAAAACTATATAATCAGGGAATTAACGTGCCATAAAAATCACACCTGTTTGACTCACTTTGGGCTGACATCTAGCGAAAGCCTCCTCTCTGCCCTGCCCTGCCCTTCCGCCACGTTGACCAGTCAATCCTCCCATCTCCTTTGTTTGTGCAGTCGGTCTGGGGACTCAAAGGCAGGCTCCCCTTGGAGCATTTGAATTAGTCCACATTCTGGCCAAAGTAGTCTCCTTTGATCTTGATCCTGTCACCCGATATATGCTCTACTCTATTTTTAAAAAACTTTTAATTTCATATTGGGGTATAGCCGATTAACAAGGTTGTGACAGTTTCAGGTGGCCAGCAAAGGGACTCAGCCATACTTGTACCCATTTCCCCCCAAACTCCCCTTCCATCCAGGCCGCCAGGTAACATTAAGCAGAGTTCCCTGTGCTGTATGGTATGGTTTTGGTGATTATCTATTTTAAATATATCAGTGTGTACACGTCGATCCCGAACTTCCTAACTATCCCTCCCCCTGATCCTTCCATTTCCCCTCCACCATAAGGTCTGTGAGTCTGTATCTGTTTTGTAAATAAGTTCGTTTGTATAATTTCTTTTTAGATTCTGCATATATGATTCCTCTTGGGTCGGGAAGATCTCCTGGAGAAGGGATAGGCTACCCATTCTAGTATTCTTGGGCTTTCCTGGTGGCTCAGCTGGTAAAGAATCTGCCTGCAATGTGGGAGACCTGGGTTGGATCCCTGGGTTGAGAAGATTCCCTGGAGAAGGGGAAGGCTACCCACTCCAGTATTCTGGCCTGGAGAATTCCCATGGACTGTATAGTCCGTGGGGTAGCAAAGAGTCAGACACGACTGAGTGTCTTTTACTCACTCACTATACGATTCCACATTTAAGGGGTATCATACCATATTTCTCCTTATTTGTCAGCCTTACTTAACACCCTTGTTTAACACACGTGTGCTTTAGTCCAGGGGTGATGTCTGTATCACCCAAAAGACCCTTTATTTCCCTCCTCTCCTTGGAGAAAAGGGAGCAGGGAATTTCTGATTCCTGTACGTCATTGAATTGGCTGTTGGTTTCTGGCTGCAGTTTTCATCTCAACGCTGGGTGGCACTGTCTTCCCATATTTTCCTTCTTCACTCACATGCTTCCCCCCACCAGCAGCAAAGGTGGGTGGAGGTGGCTGCCCCACCCCGCAGGCTAGCGCTCTCTTTTCTTGCCTTGGCCTCCTCCCCACACAGAAATCTATAGAAGCCATGGGTCAGCTTTCTGGAATTCAGGGCTCACAGTGAACTTTGGGGCCATCCAGCTGCTCCCTCGAGGACATCTTGTAAGATTGTTTCCTGTGGCACATTTTTCTGTGGCCAGTTTTAGTTTTCAGTGACTCAATAGGTCCTCAAATACTTCCCATGGGAAATACAACTCCGAGGTATCAGAAAATATTGTTCGACAATGTTTCCTGATGAGTTTTGTGCACATTTTTCTTGACTTAATCGTATCCTCATTCCCTTTCCACCCCAGAACAGTGACCAATTCTTTTCCCTTCTCTCTGCTTCCACCCTGTAAATACTTAGAGACACTTCTCATATCCCGCTTGAGTCACTTTTTGGCACAGTCCTCTGTCTTTGGTTTTTATTGCCTCTGCTCATAAACCGCGCCCCCTGTACCTTAATAGCCTGAAATATGCCCTTTCCAGGGAAAAGGAGATGGGAGCAGCAGAGTCTCAGATGGGTTACATGAAGAAGTCTAGAGGCAGATTTAGAGAGTGGAGCTGATGAAACTTCAGCTTTGTGGTCCCCCACTTACTCATGCCCCTTCCAAGATACTTATGTTTAAATTGTACTTTTTTTTTTTTTTAAAGAGGGTCTCCCAAATTATATTATTTTAGGCCTTCCCAAAGCCTAGCTCTGGGCTTCTCTGGTGGCTCAGACAGTAAAGAATCGGCCTGCAATGCAGGAGACCTGGGTTTAATCCCTGGATAGGGAAGATCTCCTGGAGAAGGAAATGGCAACCCAATCCAGTATTCTTGCCTGGGAAATCCATGGACAGAGGGGCCTGGCGGGCTACAGTCCATGGGGTCTCAAAGAGTTGGACACGACTGAGAAAGTAGCACTAAGGCCTAGCTCTGGGAGAGGAGCCTGGTGGGCAGAAGGCCGTGGGATTGTAAAAAGTCGGACGTGAGTGACTTAAGATGCTCCTAGATGCAGTCAATATTGAGACCCCCCCACCCCATCCCCTCCCCAAGGACCCTGGGCCACAATGTCCAATTTCCTCTTTTTGACAAAGCATGAGTTTCTCTGCCTGACCACAAAAATCAGAGCCGAGTATCCCACTCACTTCCTTTCATTGTAATTTGAGCATGTTAATTTTTTGTTCCTTCTCTTTCTTCTCTTAAAGTAATTGCTAGTCAATGCCACATAAATATAATTTGACTAGGCTCAGAAGCTCCTGACTCAACACAGACGAGAAGATTCCATGTCTCGGAACATTACTGAACTTTGGTCTGTTGGACCCTGATCCCCTCAGGACACCCCCACAGGGATGTATGTGCAACTGAACGTTTGTGACATCACAAAGCCAAGGGCTGGGACCAACCTATCCCTGCTAAGGTCCTCAGTCACTCTGCCCTGCACTGTCCAAAAACACATTTACTAGATATGAAAAAAAGAGAAACTGGTCTTGGGACACACACATATACTTTGTAAACAGGAATTCAATTTGGTTTGTGACTACTCTGGAGATTAGAAGTGATTAAAACAATGGGTAAGAATGCTGAGATGCTGAACCAGTTCAGTTCAGTTCAGTTCAGTCGCTCAGTTGTGTCCAACTCTTTGCAACCCCACGGACTGTAGCACGCCAGGCTTCCCTGAACCAGGGAAGATTGTAAAGCACAGCCCTTCCCTCAGGTCCAAGACTGGGGCTATGGAATCCAGGTTTTATTTTTTTTATTATTATTGCATATATCCATTCTGGCATCTTGTCCCGAGAAAGGTTTGTTTGAGACAGTTGTTGTTCACTCACTCACTCACCCTATGGACTACAGCATGCCAGGCTTCCCTGTCCTTCACTGTCTCCCAGAGTTTGCTCAAACTCATGTCCACTGAGTGGGTGGTGCTATCCAACCAACCATCTCATCCTCTGTTGTCCCCTTCTTCTCTTGCCCTCAATCTTTCAGGGTCTTATCCAACTAATTGGCTCATCACATCAGGTGGCCGAAGAATTGGAGCTTCAGCTTCAGCATTAGTCCTTCCAATGATATTCAGAGTTGATTTCCTTTAGTTTGGGACACAAATAGTACACTCTATCCTCCCACGAGCCAGATTTCTGACCCAGGCCCTATTAACTAATTCTTTTTTGTTACTAAGTAGATGAAAGGTTGGAATACAGTGTGAATGTCTCAGTTACTGACTCTGGTCTACACTGCTCTGTTCTGTCTGCCTCTCTCCTGTAACTCATCACATGGTTTACTTGGCTGTTCTGTTCACTTGACTAACTTTCTAGATACAGTAGCAACTATGTCTTATTCTTGTTGATCCTAAGAGCCTAGCCCTAACAGCCACAAATGAATGGAATGAATGAATGAATGAAGTGCGTAATGGAAACCCAGCTCACAAATACAGCTAGGAAGACTATGGCTGAAGATAAGATCTTGAAAAAGTGTCCAAACAGCCTCCTATGGTGAAAGGGACAGGGATCCTCCTGCTTCACATACGAAAGAGCAGGGAGGAGCTGCAAAGAGGGTCCACAGACACACCCTAGGCCTTTCTACATAGATGCACCCTGAGTTTCATCAAACAGACCCTGTGCCAATACGCTTCCTCCCACCTGTGGAAACATTCCTGCTGTTTGACGCGCCAAGCCCAGAAAACAGCAGTGATCTCATAAGCAAGTATTATCTTCAGTTCACAGAGACTAGGGTACAATCAGATTGCTCACAAGCCAGTGACAGACTGGAAATGTTATATCCTTTCCCAAGCCCTGTGATTCCCTCCTGGTTGGAGCCCTTTCAGATGGTAGGTCTCCAATGTCCAAAGTTCTGAGGTTCTGTAGCCCTAATTACAATCGTTACTTCAATGCCTCACACATGACACATTTACTGAGGACGATTAGCAATGCTGGCTCAGGACATTTTGATACCTGCTTCCCAGCCCTAATGGGAAGACTAACCACTAAAATGCCCATGCCGAGTGTCCAAAATACTAAAGCCACTACAGGACATTGAGCTCTGGGGTTTCCCAGCTTCAGGTTAATTCCTAATGTAACCATGCTTTATGTCCACATGGCTTCAGATGCTCACAGAATAAGAAAAGGACTCCAGTCTTCCTAACATGGGTCCCGAGTTCTGGGAACACCTACTTCTGTGCAGTGGGGAGGGCCAAACAAAATCATTTGCGGGGGCTCTCCTCTGTGTGGCTTTTCCCGTTCCTCTTTTTAATGGAATTGTTTGAGGGCTTTTGCGAATGCAGTCATTTCCAGGAGAGGAAGCCGCCTTCTTTCATGCCTCAAGCAGCTGGAGTGAATCAGAGGGGCAGTCCCATCTGGGCATCCTGTGGGGCAATCGCTCACGCGGGGGTGACGGAGCTCTCGGGGACTGCTGGGCGGGGCGGGGGTGGTGGGGTGTCGGGGACAGACTGGCGGGGCAGGGGCCTAACGGGAGTGGCCTCTCAAGAGGCGCCCCGTTTGTATCCGGCATGCGCCCCCCACCCCGAGGTTTACTACGGCGCCCGGTCGCCTAGCAACGGGAGAGCGTTGCCAAGGTGACGCGCTGGAGCCTGTTTTGAATCATTTGGCTAGGCCCAGCCCAGCGGCGGAGCGCCGGGATGTCCCGAGCGGGTGGGGCTCCCCGCCCGGGGCTTCTCCATCTTCCTGGGGGGACGGGGACGGCGTCCCGAGGGTCCTCCCAGGCGGGGTGGGCTGAAGGAGTGCGGAGATCCCCGTTCATCCCCTGAATTGCGCTCACGAGCCGGTGGGCCGAGGGTCGCGAGGAGCTGAAACCCAAGTCTAAGGTCTCCGCGCCCCCTGCCGCCTTCCCCTAAAGGTACGCTACGGCTCCTGTTCTGCAGAAAGGCCTTGTCTCTGACTCATTTCGTGGAGCCGAGAGACGGAACTTAGGAACTTCGGGGCCACCAACCCACAGCAGATCTGAGTTCTAGTCCCTGCCAACCCCACGACTGGGCTAAAGATTTTGGCCAAGTTCCCTAACCTCCCTGAGCGATTGTTTTCTCGGAGGCGAATTAAAGAGAGTTTGTCCTCCCCGGTTACCCCGTCCCTGTCCCAGACGGTTTGGCAGTCCCTCCACGGACGTTTAATCCTCACTACCTCGAGAAGTCAGGACCCCAGTGACCGACTCCTCAAGGCCACACACTCCTAAACGCAGAGTCAACTTGGGAAACCTCCTGAGTCAAGGCCAGGCCGCCCCTCGGTCAAGGCGAGGCCTGGTCACCCTTACCTGTGGCACAGATTGAGGCCCAGTTATGACAGCGCACTCATAATGAGGCAACAGATTGCCTCCTTTAAACTTCACGGGTGTATACTAATAAACGGACTCTCCCATCATTTCCTCTGTACCTCTCCTCGTAAACCAATAAAAATTTTTTTTTTTCACTACGGCTAGTCCTAGCTGTATTCACTTCTGAGGGTTGGCCTATTTATGATTTAATCACTTAGGGAGATTCTGAACCAGGGAAGTGGATTGAGCCCAATAATCTAGTGGTTCTTCAGAACTGTGAGCTCTTCTCTGAGGCTCCAGATGTGTCTTTTTTTTTTTTTTAGGAACTCCTTCTTCTGAGATCTCTAACTTCCAGCCCATAAACAGCACACCACATTGCTCTGTGTGTGTGTCTGTGTGTGTGTATGTTATTTCTCAAGCTAATCATAAGTTTCATTTTTCTCCCCTGGGAAAGGTAAGATATAGGAGAATGAACATCATCTTTTTTTCTTTTTTTTCTTTTTAGTAACCCTGTGAGCTGCAAGTTGGGAGTTGCCAACTGTCTCAAAATGGAAGGCAAGTCTCTTCCAGATGTGTCTTCTCCGCTAAACAAGCCAAGATGTCTTTGTTGGCTGTGAGTGTCTTTCTGGGTCTGGAAGTGTCTCTGCAGATTCTGAGACCAGAAAGAGCCTAAGATTGAGCTGTCCTTTCTTAGTTCCGGCAGATTTCGGATTGGAGTTGGTCATGGGAATGCCTCAGCATCTCTTTCAGTTCGCTGGAGTGATGGACAGTTTATCACTGCTATCACTTCCGTGCCATTGGGCCTTTTCCAGGGACTAGATTTTGTAGTAGAAATCATACAGATAGAGAGGGAAAAAAGACCTAGAAGACATTAAGCTGCACTAGGAGCAGAGGAAAGGTGTGATAAGAGGCAAAGGAGGAAGAAATGGAAGTTTTAATGGAATATGATGAAAGAACAAGAGGCCAAGGTAGGGCCATCACTGAGTTTATCAATAAAAACTGGGCTCAAGTAACACATTTTTACTCCATTTCGGGTAATCCTACCGAGTGTTCTCAAGCTCCTTGTGATGAGTTTGTATAACCCATATTACACATCCAATAGTAAGGGGACTACACATGAGATAGTCATGAGATTTCAAAATTTAAGGTACCTACCTTCTGGGTGAGACAAACATTTTGAATCAGCTGAGAGGAATTGCTCATTCACTTTTGAAGTTATGAGGCAGAGGGGTTTCAGTGTTTCTTCTACTCTGTCTTAGTTGGTTGCGTGGGAGGAGCCTTGACTGTGAAGATGTATCAGAGCCCCTCTTGCCGGCAGAGGGGTCAGGTGGTATGAGGTAGGCTGGAGAGGATGGAGAGGTTATCCTGCAGCTGGGACATGCTGGGGTGGGGCTGGCTGACCCAGGAGGCTGCCTCTGTGACATCACAGTGGCAGGCCCGGGGCACCCTGCCGTTCACTCTGCCTCCTGCCCCCACCCTCAGAAGGACTGGGGCCACTCTGGGGTTACCGCCCAGAGGCCAGCATGTCTTTTGTGTCCTCCAGATCTTATGCAAAGAATCACCTGGGCATCTTAGTAAACGATCAGCTTCTGAAAGTCGAGAATGGCTCCCATGGGACACTGACCAGCCCTCACAGGGTTGTAAGACCCTAGGCCAGTGCTGTCCAAGAGAAGTGAGATATGAGCCACAGATGTAATTTAAACTTTCCCAGTAGCCACATTAAAAAAAATAAATAAATAAAACTGAGACACACACTGCAATCTAACAGTGATATTTTTTGCAGTGCTGTTGTTGATGTCAAATGCAGGCCTCCCTCAAACAATAAAGTTGAGTCCAATGGAAAAGTCATCTACACTAGTAAGGGTTCTAGTTCATTTAGACTAGTTTGCTATTTTAATAAGTGCATAATGAGGGTTTAGGAGCTTCTATTAAAAATATTATTTTATTTATCGTGCTGGGGCTTCGTTGCTGCACATGGGCTTTCTCTAGTTGTGGCGAGTGGGCGCTACTCGCTAGTTGCAGTGTGCGGGCTTCTCGTTGCCATGGCCTTTCTCGTTGCAGAGCACGGGCTCTAGGGCTTATGGCTCAGTAGTTGTGGCTCGTGGGTTCCAGAGCTCGGGCTCAGCAGTGTGGTGCACAGGCGTAGCGCTCTGCGGCATGCGGGATCTCCTGGGACCAGGGATGGAAACTGCGTCCCCTCCATTGGCAAGCAGATTCTTAACCACTGGACCACCATGGAAGTCCTGCTTCCCTTTTTAAATGTCAATTAAAATGAAATAAAATTAGAAATCCAGTGCCTCAGTTGCACTCCTCCAAGGGCTGAGAGAGCTTGGTGGCTATTGGACAGCTCAGCTCTGGAGCATCCCCAGAGAAGGTCATGATGGACGGAAATGAGCACTCTAAAGAACTAAGAAACTAGTGGATGTTCACGAATGTTATTTTAATAAGTACACAGTGAGGATTGGAGCTGTTAACACTGAGGCTTGAAGAGTGTTTTCCAGTCACGGGTCTGGCTTATTCCACCTCTGAGCTTTTACCTAGGTACCCCTCACTGAGATTCCTTCTTCTTCCTGTCACCCCACCTAAGTCCTACAGGACTTTCATGGCATATGATTCCACCCTAAATTCAGTCCAAAGTCTTGCCTTGTTATTCTAGCCGTCATTTCTCTGCTTGCCCTCAGAGCGTGCATTGCATGGATGGTCTCGCTGTGCTATAGGGGGCTTTCTTCCACGGGCTCTCACAATGCTTGCTTTGTTTCAGGAATGTTAGCCCATCTCGCTCATGAAATTCTAAGCTGCTAAAGGACAGAACCTACTTCTTTGCTTCTATTGTGCTTAATATAGTGCTAAAGGTATAATAGCTGCTCAACAAATATTATTTTGTTGAATGGACTGATACCTAAGGAAATGTCCGAGAGAAAACATCAGTTCTGAAAGTAGCAATAACTTGAACCAAAGGAATAACACGCCTTGTTCTTGGCACATCTCCATTTGATCAAGATGTCAGGTCTCCCTAAGTTAATTTATAAATTTAATGGAACCCTGATACAAATACCAAGGAGCATTTAAAAAGAGCAAGATGGATTGCTATTAAATTCCTATGGAAAAATAAATGTATGAGACTAGCTAGGAAAACATTGGAAAGAAAGAGCTCAGAGAGGGCATTGTGTGTGTGTGCTCAGTCGAGTCCAACTCTTTGTGACTCCTTAGACTGTAGCCCGCCAGCCTCCTCTGCCCATGGAGTTCTCCAGGCAATAATATTGGGATGGGCTGCCATTTCCTCCTCCAGGGGATTTTCCTGACCCAGGGATCTAACCTGGGTCTCCTGTGTTGCATGCAGATTCTTTACTGTCTGAGCCACCAGGCTTTCTAACTATGTCTAAAAATATAGCTATAAGAAAAGGTGGATTTGACTACACTGAAAAATAAAACAAATGTCATGGCAAAAATCACCATAAACAAAATAAAAAACAAACTGGGAGAAGATATCTGTAATACATATGACAGATAAAAGACTAATAACCCTAATATATAGAAAAAATTATAAAAGTTAAGGAAAGAAAATGGCCAAAATTCCAATGGAAAAACTGGCAAAATTCAGAGCCAGGCAAGGCACAAAAAAAGACATATAAATGGTCCTAAATACATGAAAAGATGTTCAACTTCATTTATTGTAGGAGTCATGTAGATTAAAACTGCAAGAAAATCATTTCTTATCTGTCAGATTGACAAAACTGAAAAGCCTGACAATATACTCTGTTGATGAGACTCTAGGAAACTAGGTTTTTTCATTTACTGTTCGCAGAAATCCAAGATGGTACCACCCCTGTGAAGCAGAATTTGGCAAAATTTAACAAAACTATGCGTGCTTGTTCTCTTGATCACAGAAATTCAACTTCGAGGAATTTCCCATTGAAGTTGCACCTCAATGGTATGAAAATAAATATACACAAAGTTATTCACTGCAGTGTGATTTGTAATTGTAAAATGCTGGAAACTACCCATATCTCCAAGCATAGGAGATGGGTTGACTAAACTATGGTATATACACACAATGAAATCCTGTGAGCTATATTTGAAAAAAAAAAAACAAAACACACAAAATAGGGCGATTGCTCTGAACTATTAATATCAAATGATTTCTAGGAAATACTCACTGAAAGCATGGAAAGTATAAAAGAGGACATAGTGCACCATCTTCTGTGTGAAAAGGGGGCGGAAATAAAGCATACGTATACTTTATTGTTACCAAAAGAAACACAGGAAAGAGAAATCAGAAAACAATCAACTTGATTACTTACTGGAGGGAGGGGTTGGAAGTGATTCAGGAGGGAGTGACACTTCTCTGTGAGTAATATTGTTTGTATAGCTTGACTTCTGGAAGCATGTTAATCTTCTACATATGCAGAAACAAAGTTAAAACAAGACGGGAAGGGAAAGAAGAATCTAAACTGAAAACGAATGAATCCAGTTGTATTCCAATCACACTAAAGGGGAAAAAAGCAAAAGAAAGAATGAATCTAGTCATTCATGAACAGGTTGCTTGAGTACTTACCTTCTGTCTTGACTGAGGTTGAGGAGGGGAGAACTGCAACCAACTCTTGAACTTGTTTTAGTATATATTCTTAATTATCTTGTGGTAAGATATGTCAAGCACTTTTGAAACTATTTTAGATGTACTGTGGTGTTGGGCAAATGAAGGAATGTGCTAATGTAGTTGGGAGTGAGAAATTCCATACGGGAAAGTGAAGTCACTCAGTTGTGTCCTGTGACCACATGGACTGTAGCCTGCCAGGCTCCTCTGTCCATGGGAATTCTTCAGGCAAGAATACTGGAGTGGTTGCCATTTCCTTCTCCAGGGGATCTTCTCTACCTAGGGATTGAACCCAGGTCTTCCTCATTTTAGGCAGACACTTTTACTGTCTGAGCTACCAGGGATGCTGTTCAGTCAACAGACATCAAGATGTGAACTGGGAAAGGCAGGAAGGAACCCTGTGGGGGTGGATTGAAATTAGATACATCAGGTTAACCATGATTTTATGCATACATACACACATGCACATGTATGTAACACATACATGTATATACACACATCCACATGAATATATACGCATTTATATGTATTTGTGTACATGGATGTATAGGCTTGTCAGGCAGTGCAGTGGTGAAGCATCCACCTGCTAATGCAGGGGATGCAGGTTCCAACTCTGGGTTGGGAAGATCCCCTGGAGGAGAAAATGGCAAGCACTCCAGTATTCTTGCCTGAAAAATTCCATGGACAGAGGAGCCTGGAGGGCTACAGTCCATGGGATTGCAAAGAGCTGGACACAACTGAGCGACTGAGCTTGTATGCATATATATGTATATATACTAGGTATATGGGTATTATGTCTGTCTGTATGTATATTTGTTGTTGTTTAGTCATCAAGTCATGTCCAACTCTTTTGTGACCCCATGGACTGTAGCCTATCCATTCTTGTGGACATTTTTTTCTGTCCATGAGATTCTCCAGGCAAGAATACTGAAATGGGTTGCCATTTCCTTCTCCAGGGGATCTTCCTGACTCAGAGATCGAACCCGTGTCTCCTTCATTGGCAGACAGATTCTTTACTTCTGAGCCACCGGTGAAGCCCATGTATGTATATATAAATACATGTATATTTTCTAGCTTTGTCTACTGAAAGGTCCCAGGAGCCAAGACTCCCCGGTAACAACGAGCACCTGACACTCAAATCTTGATCTCTGATTCCAAGAGTTCTTCAAGGAAATGGCCAATTCCAGAGCTGGGACAAGGAAGGTACATGATGAACTTGGAACATTTTGCCAGAAAGCAAAGAAATTCTTGAAAAACAAAAAATGATGAGGGGTATTCACAAGGACATAGGAAGCACCTTGAAGAGATTCCTACCAGTTAAATCTGGTACAGTTTGAGGCCAAAATAATTTAAACATAGCATTGCATGATAAACCATTGAAAAAATAAGAATTAATAAGTGCCCACTGATAAAAACATA